ACCTCATTCACCAAGAACATTTAACCCGTTGTTAACTAAGTACTACACTTAACATGTGCATTTTCATATAATCAAAATTCACATTTTTACCTCCTGTTAACATTACAAACTTTTATGGAATAAATCATAAATATGGCGAGGCATACAATGTGTCGAACAGATAAAACCATTTCAAGTTGCACTTCAATATCACTGTTTGGTAAATCCAATATTTATGGGTCTATATTCATGAAGAAGGCGGGCATTATCTTTGTCTGTTTTTTTTTTTTATTTATGCATAACGTGATAATAATTAAAAGTACTTCTATCACCCATTATAATTCAAACAATCAAGCGGAGTTTATGTCTTTTATGGCAATTTGTTTCAGTCGTTGGTGTTTATGAAGAAGGAACACTTCAATCAGTTATTTGCAACTTGCTGTAATATGTAGGTATTATGACTTCCTGTACGTCTAGAGCTTTGTGTTGGTTTTTGAAAGTACAAAAACAATGTATTCATTCTTGTCTATGGCTTGCAGGTCATTTGTAACAAAATTGTGTTTCTTTAGACTTTTTTGTAAGCTATTTAAAATGCTAAGCAGGGCGCAGCTTGATACAACGGCAGAAGTCGACCCCAGAACAGTTGGGGCAAGTATGGACACAACATTCAAGTTTGATACAGCTCTGAATTTGGGAACTGTGATTAAATCTCAAGTGGGTAAATATCGTATCACACTTGATGCAGTGGTAGAATATATATATAAAGCACTTTGAAAATTAATTTATACAGAATAAAAAACAAACCTATCACGAAGTTTTTCAAAACATTTACAAAAAAAACGAAAAAATAATTTACAAAATATCATTCATCATTAATACATTTTAATGTCTTTAAGAAAATCTATTAAACTTGGTACCTTTTTTTTTTTCAAAATATATGATAATGAACAGTAAATTGCATACCATATTTATACATAATTTCTTCTCTAGAATTAGAATTTGATGCGTTATCTATTTTTAACTATGAATCAACTTACAATGTCTATAAATTGTGCAATACAGCTCTGAAATTGGATTGTGATTAAATGTTTGATAAGGCATAGGTTTCTGACACAGAATGAATGTGGTTTAAGAATTTTAAAATATTTGAAATTGGACATTTAACTATTATGGTCCAATATCAAAAATCTAAATACATGGTTAGATTCAGCATAGAACCCCAAGAATTCTTTTTTTTTTGTTGAAATTAAACAAAGTTTAAAGTTGGACCCTTTGGACCTCTAAGTGGACCAATTCAAAAACGGGGCCTAAAATCTATATACATGGTTATATTCCGCATATTAAAGGACCCCAAGAATTCAAGACTTTGAATTTAACCCCATTAAAATTGTTCAACACATGAGCAATTCATACAAAATGCTAGAAAAGTATTGTTTTTGTCCCTTTTTCCTTAACGGTTAGTGCCATAACCCCCAAAATCAATCCAAACCTTCTTCTTTTTTTGGTATGGAACCTTGTGGTACAATTTCATAGAGTTCCATTGACTTTTTATCAAGTTATTGTCCGCAAACCAGAAATTCCTATTATTTTTTTTTTTGCCGCTTTTTGGCCTCTAATTTCCAAACGGTTTGGGCAATAACCCCAAAATTAAATCTCGACCTTATTTTTTTAGATATGAAACCTTGCTGTACAATTTCATAGAGATCCATATACTTATACACAAGTTATTGTCCTGAAACATGCTTGTTTTGTTTTGCCCTAATTCGGAGTATGTTATGTTGATCGGTGTTGTTCTTCACAAAGTTAGATTGTTCATAGAGATAAAAATTATATAGTTTTGCTGCGAATTCCAAGAACTTCAGTGAGACATTCCAAATAATGGTGTTTGCCTATACAAACAATATTGTTTGAGGCTTTGTCTACTGGAACAACAATATATTTGTCGCGAAAGGAGGATAAAGAATCATCCACAACATAAGGATTCTTGAAAGGGTCAGAAACTTGTCAGCTCATTGTATAAAAGTGTGATGTATAATGATAGAAACAACCATATGTCGTTGGTTCATGTCCGTCATATTTGTTTTTCGTAAATTGTTTTGTTATAAATTAGGCCGTTAGTTTTCTCATTGATTTTTTTTCATATTTTTCATGTCGGGGCCTTTGACAGCCGACTATACGGTATGGATTTTGCTCATTGTTGAAGGTCGTACGGTTGCCTATAATTGCTTCCATCTACTTCATTTGAACTTTGGTGGATAGTTGTCTCATTGGCAATCATACCACATCTACATTATATGTATATGAATTGTGTATTTTACATTAATAGAATTATCATATATATTAATAATATTATAATGATGCGGTTCGGGTTGCTTAGGCTTTATTTTCTATAAGGTCTTTTGTGTCTTTTTGTCGTTTTCCGTTTTGTATCATGGGATTGTCGTTTTCTGTTCAACATATTAATTTTTTCTGTTCCTTTGGTGTTTAACGCCACTTTTAGCACTATTGCATATTTCGTGGAGGCCAGTTTTTATTGATGAAAAAAGCCGGAGTGTCCAGATAGAACCATCTTCCTTCAGTAGGTATTTGTAACCTGCAACATTATTCATAACTTCATATGCAATTTCAACCTGTTATGTGTCGCGCAAAATTCAACAAAAACACAAACCACATTTCAATAAACAATATGTGATAGCGCTAATTTTGTGAAAATAATGCATCTTTATTTGACACTATTTAAAAAGATTATTTTTCTTAAGTCGACATTCCTGGACTTTCACTGATAAACTGCTTGGCCACAAATTGTCATTTCTCTATGTTAAACGAATTATTATTTTATCGAAATCCTGTGATTTGCAATATTTGTCTGTCAATTTAATTGTATTCATTTTCAAATTGGATAAGAATTCTTTTAAAACGTTTCATTAAATATAATTCTAATTATAAGCATTCTTATTGTCAAATTATTTCTATTCATTATGTAAGAATTATTTATGACAAACATATGTCTTTAATCCGTAATCAATTACCTTTTTTTAATTGTTCGGCAATGGACTTTTGAGCGAAATGGCAGGACATCTGAGCGATAAAAAAGGACCTTTGGGCGCCAAAATTTAAGACTTTGAGATAAAATAAAAAAATAAGCATAGGACATTTGAGCGAATACAAATTGAGAACGACGAAGCAGAACCTCTTCCGTTCGCAAGATAAAATCTGTTACCCCTGGTCACCAAAGGGAGGTGGTATTAGGATTTCGAGTAGGATATAGTAAATAAAGTGTGGAGTTTATACTGACACACAAAGTGTAAAACATCTTTTAATTGTAAAAATAACAAAGGACTGTCATAATCGGCAAAGTCTATAGAAGGCTTGTTGTTAGGTACAACTGTCACTCAGAACCGGTCGAATTACTAGGGTGTAAAATCATATAAAATATATTTATTTTAAAAACTTACCTTTTTTTTCTTACTTTTAAAAAATATGTTCTTGATTCATATAAAAGTATTACAGGAAATTTCGCTCAAACGTCCTATTTAAAAATCCAGGTAAGGTTAATATTCCGGCGCTAAAATTTCCAATGATGTACGCGCTCAAATGATCCTATGTATATTTTTTATTTTCGCTCAAATGTCCTATACCTCTTTTGTTAACCCTTTAAGTGCTAATTCTATGTTTTTTATTGTCATTCGTCCTGAACATGCATGACATATTTTCCACTGGACGTCCAGTAACCAACAATCAATCAATCAATCAATCTATTGTCATTCGACAATCTTTTTTCTATTATGAAATTGTACATGTAATCTAGCAAAATTCTTGATTTAAGTATGTTTTTCTGAAGTTTTGACACCAGTGAGAGTCAGGCAGTCGTACTGACAACATCCACCAATTTGTAAAATTACATGTATTCCATCTTGAAATCATTAAATTGTTAACTACTGCATTGGACTTGAGTCTAATTCTACCAGTGGAGTTAAATCGAGTGTTCTCATGCAATAGACTAGGTCTAAGTCATTGTCTATCGTTGGCATCGCCAACCTCTGCAACCGGTCGTGTTGCATCTCGTTATCATTGTCATTCCATTAGCCGAACATAAATATATATATACTAATAGAGTGCAACTTTATTAAAGGCCTCATTTGTGCTTTTATCATTGGCAGTTTCAGAACTTTCAGTAAGGGGGAGCATGTAGGTCCAGACGCAAAATATGGGCGGACAGTAACAAATTAGAATAATTTACTACAAATACAAATGTTCGACCATAAAGGGTGGCTTCTCGATCCCTTGGGGCCCAGTGGATCCACTTATTTTTATGTATTTGCCAGTCTCTGTTCAATCCACTTTCAATCCTTAATATTTCAAGTTACTTAAATTTATAAAGAAGCCCGGGAAAAGCAGTATGATTTCACTTTCATTATGTTTAAAAGATTGTGTTTATTTGTATTACTCAAATGCACAAGGTTTTTGTCATACTGTGTTTGAAGGTGAAATTAACAGGAAACGGTATGCTTTTACTTGAACGATTTACGTGGAATTCATTTCACACCAGGGCCATTTTCTAAAATTATTTCAATCTTTAAACTTTAATTCATTGCACCAAAGCAGCCCATTGCATCGGGACTTTAAGGTTGAAGCAATAAACAATACCAATTATTGTAATCATCTTCGATTAAAACTGTGGAAAACGTTTTGAAGGAAAAGACGATATAGTTTCATTTGAAATATATCTAATTTATGCCAACTAATATTTAATTTATACCAACTAGTATTCAAACTCGAGTATTAACCAACTTATGCATGGACTTAACTTATTTGGGACTAAATGCATGATGTAATGCATATATATAATTGCATAGTATTTCTTCTATACACTTATTTTTCAATCTTTCTATACGACTAATTGTTGAAACCTGGGACTCACTTATAACATAAAATGTCCTATACGTGAAACGTGCTCTTAAAACAGACTTATTTCTAATGATACGCCACAACAGACGTCGAGGGCTTTTGAAAAAAAAACATTTCACGTTGTATTTCTTTATTAGATGTAATAGTCGAAAACATTGGCCAATTCTCTGTGAGGGAATGCTGCATTAGAGAAAACTGTTCCGTCAACACTCTCCACTCCAGCTACACCATGGGCATGGCCATATAAATGTAATTCTGGACTGTCAAAAAAAAAAAAGGATTAGCATATTGGATCTTTGTTATCATGTGAATTTATCAAGTTAATGTTCATTATATTTTCACTCGCATAATGTTCGATTATAGTATATGCTATGCATGGATTTTCAAAATAGCAATTGCCAATGCTTACGTTGCGACTAGTGTGAATTATTCTGTATTTTGTACGAGTACCTGGTCAGGCGGTTACAATTTCTGTATACTTTCCATTACTATCTCAAACGTACTAGTATTTGGTTCAGATTGGTCAAATACTTTTAAAATATCCGTTGGTCATTAAACATCTCGATTAAGTTGGTGATTTTTGCGTTTATTTACAAAAAACAGTTGAAAATTCTGTGAATATACATGACAATACAAAGGCAATTACTTTATAAAGCAACTAACATGTTATGTGTTTCAAAACAATGATTCGGTATATATAAGCATTGAATTAGAAGCCTATATAAAAAGGGCCAACCAGCAAGTTTAATATATACAGCATAGTCTAGAATAGGCGACACTGCGCAGAGAAGGAATTTCCCGAAAACCATATAAAAGTCTAAAAATTTATCAACGGTAAAACAATAAATATTGAATTATATACACTAAGACTTTCATGTGTAATTGAAATTTAGTTGTGAGAATTGAAACATTATGTTATAATTTCTCATGTGTGTGTATATATGACAAAAGCATAAACTAAATGCATACTATTATTACAACAAAAATATTTTATCGTTTTTGTTTTTTGCAACCAACAAAACCATAAAAGACACTCTTAGTTGTTTTCCCATCCCGATAGTATCTTTTAGTTGTTTTCCCATCCCGATAGACTATGTAACGAGAGAGCATTGAGATGTTAATCATACATACCGAACTCTTTCGTGTATTGTCTTTCGTAGTGAAGGACATCCTCCGTGTAAATACACTTTTTTAAACAACTGAAACTTCTTTGGAAATGTGTCCATAATTCCATGAGGTGGTAAATGAGTTACTAGAACATTAGTATCAGTCGATATTTTATCCCAGAAATGTTCTATTTTCCCACGTTCTCGACAAAAACCTCTGTTGTAAGATGTCCACTTATAAAATGTCCATGGTGATCCGTGAAAGTTAATTCCTTCGATAGAAACTGAGGAGTCTTGAAGATAAGTTACATTTGGAAGTTTCTTTTGCACTTCTTCGCAAGAACCTATATCAAACACCATGTCATGATTTCCCGCCACAAATATTTTATGTTTGTGAGGAAGTTTTTCAAAGAATTCGTTGATAGACCGTAAAAATCCATCATTGTCAGGCGTAACAAGTAATCTTTTCCATCCTATTCTGCAAAAATCACCGGAATGAACTAAAATATCACCATCAGGAATATTTGTCAAAAATCCGTTATGCTGCATATGTGTATCAGATATATGGACAATTCTTATCTTTTTTGTGCCATTGTCAATATTTCCAACTTTTGTAACAATGTGATGGGACAAATCTGTAGAAATCTTGTGGCGGCATTTCCTGTCGACTTCTTTATTCATTTCTATTCTAGCCATTTACTGTAAAGCAAACTATCAATAAATATTTCTTCCTTTGAAAGAATTAATTCACATAGAATATGATCAATATATACATGATATAGGCAACAGCACTGATATGAGTACAATAAACTTTTATCAGAAGTTGAGAATTATGCGTATTACATGTAAAAACAAACAAAAAGCAAATATAGTTGCCATATTAAAGGATAATAGGAGTCGAATAAACACACATAGAAATAGATCGCCATTTACCTTAATACAGAAAGGTATATACATTTGTAAGATCATTACAATAGACAGCAATATACCTTAATACAGAAAGGTATATACATTTGTAAGATCATTTGAAATAATTTGTGATGTAATGTTTACCACTTTTACATGGTTCCGATATTCCTTCTTTAATTTGAATAATCCAATAGGACTATTGTAGAATTGAATGCTACATGTGAGTCTTATGAAGACGGAACGCGCGTCTGGTGCAGCAAATTATAAGCCTAAAATCGTTGATAAGTTTTTTCATCAGATTTTAGAACATCAAAAAGGTAAAAGAATGCATCATCGAATACATTCATATTCCTTTTTGTTTAATTGAAATAAACACAAGTATGATTTGTCTTAGATTTACCAGTATTACTGATTGTAATATTCTACTCTACCAAGTAGTTGTCAGCTTCAACAAATTGAAGATTATGACACATGAGGATTACTAACAACCAGATATACATTGATTATCATGATACCATCATTATCATGATTATATACAATTTCAAATAGATCAAAAAGGAATCTATAATAAATGTACAATAGAACTAATATGTACAGCTAGTTTGAGATTGAAGATTTGAGAGAGTCTACTGAATGATGTTCTATTTATGACTGAGATTTATGATGTTGTCGGGTAGTTTGTTCCAATCGGTTATTTTTATTTGATACACAATTTTTTTACAGGATTGAAGAACGAAACTGTTAGACGCGTAGAAATTCTATTGATATAAATGATATGAACCTACCGAGATCTTATTAAATGAAATTTCACCAGACGAGTGCTCTTCTTTTATTTTTTTTTTTTAGAAACGGATCTCTGTAGCAACATCCCGAGCCACATACATAACTAACAAAATCTGGCATAATTCAGATTTCTTCGAGCAGAATATAGTATAATTTACATAGATCACTAAGGTAAATTATTATATATATTATACATGTTATAGCTTTAATACATCCGGTTCATTTTGGGTTCAATTATAACTGTAATTTACGTGATTATATACCTTAAAATCACAGTAGATTGTTTAAAAAGTAAAAATTGTAAGGAATAAACATACCATTTACTGGTTGGCGAGAATCTTTAACTGTATATTGGTTAACATAATGTATATAAACAGGTATTGACCAATCTGGACGTCATGTCTAAATATAGATATGATCAGTTTTACCTTTTCATTTCGAACAGTGAGCTAAAAATAAAAATGATTTATTTATACATATCTACGTCACTTTCGTTATTTTTGTAATAATCGGTTATATAGTTGTTAGTAATACACATAAACCATGTTAACATATTTGAACTTGATAATATAAAAATAAGGAGATGTGGTATTATGGGGGCCCCTATATATATATATGATTGCCAATGAGACAAATATACACCAGAGTTCAAATGAAGTGGATGAATCGTACGGCCTTCAACAACGAGAAAAATGCATACCATACAATCGGTTATAAAAGTCCCCAACATGAAAAATAAAAGAATGTGGCTGAGTTAAACATATTTTTTCAGGGGCGGATCCAGCCATTTTTAAAAGGGGGTTCCCAACCCAGGATAAAGGGGGGGGGTCCAACTATTTGTCCCCACTCTAATGCATTGATCGTCAAAAAAAGGGGGGTTCCAACCACCGGAACAGCCCCCCCCCCCTTTTTATGGATCCGCCACTGTGTTTATCAGCGCTCAACCCTCTCCATAACATGGGACAGTGGTATATATAACAGCACACAACATAAGAACAAACTGTAAAACTCAGTAGCAATTGACTTACTAGTAACTCAAAAGATTGACTAATGTTGTTTGCTTCATTTCCAGTGGCAAATATTTCCTATAATATTCAGTTTACACATTTATATAATTACAAATACAATGTTCGATAGGTACAAAAAGTTATTGCTTTAACCAAGGATTTGTATACAAATCCTTGCTTTAACAAAGATGAAGGACGAGAAATTTGCCATGTTTGCGTTACAACGCAAACCTTCGCATTATAACGCAAACATTTGCGAAATAACGCAAACCTTCGGGTTATATAACGCAGACATTTGTATAATAACGCAAATCTTTGCTTTATGACGCAAACATTTTAATTTTAATTATTCATTAAGTTTTGAATATTTTATTCATGATCAAAAACTTTTATTTTGAATTTACATTTTATGTTTATTATATAACTTGAAAGTTTTTGTTTACTTTTTCTGTTTTTTTCCTTTCGCTCTCCTTCTTTTCTTTGATTCAGTATATAATTGCTTCAAGTTTTAAATCAGTCATTGTTATGACAGAAATGAGAAGATACGATTAAAGATCAAGTTGCTCCTGAAATAAAATATATTTATTACTATCTCTGAATTTTAGAATCAAATGTTGAATCCTTGTGTACGGTAACGGATTTTGAATAGTTTGATACTATTAAACTACTGAATGTGCTTTTATATTTTTGAACCGATTGCGGCAGATATGTCGCATATAAATCGTCCGCATTGGCCAGTTTACAGTATGAAGGTGGTCGGTAAAAGTGGTAACCCGAACCCGAACCCGAACCGGAATTTGCCGGAAATTCGCCGAACCGGAAATCTTTAAATATGTTTTGTTATCATTTTTTAGAGATTTTTGTTACAAACATTAATGGACATGGTGTAAAATATAAAGTTTTATGTTATGTATGAGTACGCTTTTGTTCTTAACTTACTAAAGATTGAAAAATAAGTTTTCTATATTTCCACCTTGGTAAAAGTGGTAACCCGAACTCGGGAACCTATTTTCTTTATTTTCTCTGTTTTATCTGATTTCTTGAGGAACACTCTGATTTCGTGTGATGAATATCATCTTTCATATCATAAAAACAAAGATTTTTTTTCAAACTGTATAAAACACAACCATTTATTTCATTTCTAAAGGAATAAGTGGGAAACCGAACCCGAAAGGGAGACAACCCGTTTTTGAAATAGTATGCACAGGTAAATGAACACAATAAAACCGTAACGGATTCCGGATGGACTTTGGTATGAACCCGGGCTCTGGAAAGATTTTAACCACTTCAATGCTTTTAAGATTATTGTCAGGAAAAAACAGTATAAATAACAAGAGAAAAAAACAACTAAACTTTTAAATTAATAAACAAACAAACAAACAATCAAACAAACAAATGAATAAATAAATAAGTAAATAAGTAAATAAATAAATAAATAAATAAATAGATAAATAAATAAATAAATAAATAATAATAATAATGATAATAATAATAATAATTAATTAATTAATTAATTAAATAAATAAATAAATAAATAAATAAATAAATAAATAAATAAATAAATGAATAAATTATTTTTTCTTTGTCTGCCGAATTGTTTATTGTTTTATGGTTATGAATTAATGGAAATAAAAATATAATGAAAAAGTTGAAAGAATTTCATAGAAAGCCAACATAATTCCATAACACATCACCGTGTTTTTTCTATTATTTTTGACAGTCCAAAGCATTACTGGTAAGTTATTGCGGAACGGAAAATATAAGTAAATTGTCGTCGTGCAATTGATTCTGAATGATAAATGTCAAATATAATGAAGATGGTATATTGCGGAATAATGGACATAACTTTTGACATTTCATCAACATAATATAGAAACTGTCCTAAGATCGGTCCTAAGAATTTCTAAGGACAAAGATAAGGATAAAGTTAGGACCGACTGACGGCATGTCTTAGCATGCACATCGAAGCTATCTTATGATTATATTAGCTAGGATGTCCTAACCGCTGTCCTAAGTATTGGCGTAAAATGGCGTAAAAGAAAATGGTAAATTAAAACGAACAAAAATGAAAATATTGTATCAAACCAATAGTCATAAATCTATATTAGAAAAAAATATTAATTTTAAATTAAAGTAAATAAATAATTGTTATATAATAATTGAACATTCAAACTCTATGAAACAAAAAAATAATACAAAAATTATAACTACGTTTTATATAAGCTTATTGTAAATAGTTATAGCTAAATATGTAATCGATAAAAAACATTTTATGTTTTGAGTGAGGTTGAATTGAGATGGCAAAACATTCCACGAGAACAGAGAAAGTGTCCTTTGTGCAGAGTTGCTATCGGTGACGAATACCACTATTTAATGGAATGCGACAGTCTACAGACAGATAAAGCACTACTAATTGACAAGAAATACCTATCGAGCTCTAATGTTTTTAAATTTAAAGCTATTATGAACCAAAAACAGAAATCTAAACTTCGAAAATTGTGCCAATTTATTAGAATTACAAATGACAAACTGGATTCTCTCTGATGTTAACCTGTCGGCTGTACTGCTCCTGATCTTACCGTTGTAATATAACTCATATTTAATGCTTCCTCAACAAAAGTACAACGCAATGTAATGTTTATTAATATGTTTTTCTGTATACCTTTGTTCAACTTAGGTGATACCAGAATAAAATGATATATATGATTATATAAATATATATATCTTTATTCTCACAAACCAAATTACAAAGGTATAGAGATAATTATACATATTTCAATACAATTACATAAATAAATAATGTACGAAAGTAGATAAAGGCATTCACAATTCTTCACCCAGAAAAGTTCAATTTGTTATTGATCTCCTTAATAAGTTTACATAGTTCGTTCAGTTCTGTACATTTTTTAGAATTCATTAAGTCATAAAACTTCAATGTGTTTGGTCTATTTCTATAGTAAAATGCAATACATTGTTTTCTACAGTTATCAAAAGCTGAGCAATTAAAAATGTAATGGTATTCATCACCAATGGCATCTGAATTATAACTACTCTAACTATCTCTTTCTATGTTTTGCCATTTTCCAGTTTTTATTGGAAATTTTATGTTCAAAGTTCGAAATTTAAGAAATAAGGATATCTGCCTGTCATCCAAAATATTTAAATATTTCTCAAACTCCAAAGTATCTTTAAATAAACGATAATTTAATGCTTTTGGTGATTCCTGTAGGCTTGCTAGCCATTTTTGTTTGAATTGATCTATTAAATTCTGTTTGATGGTTACATGTAGCCATGTTCTATTTACAAAATAGATATTGTCCCATACATATGACAAGCCACACGTGTCTAAAATTGATTTGACTTGTTTAATATTGTTTAATATTTGTACCATATTTGACAGATGCTAAGTTATACAAAATATAAGGCAATTTGTCATGTTTTCCAGTTACCAACTTGAACCAATAATTTATCGTTCGTAACTTGATTGAAATATCTAATGGATATCTTCCCAATTCACCATAAATCATAAAATCAGGAGTAGACTTTTTTACTCCAAGTAATATTTTACAAAATTTAATATGAACCCTCTCGATTATTGAATTATTTCCAAAACCCAAAACTTCACACCCATACAAAAGTATTGGTTTCACAATTTTATCAAAAAGATCAAGTTGGCATTCAATTGACAAATTATGTACTCTACCTTTTCGAATTATATCGTACATAGCATGTGTTGCTTTTTCACATTGCATTTTTTTAGCTCTTGAAAAATTTCCTGACCTAGACAGTAATACACCAAGATAAGTAAATTCACTCACAATATCTAGTATTATATTATCATACTTAAAAACAATATTCTGCGGTAGTCTACCTTGTGAAAAAATTACAATCTTACTTTTTTGCATAAAGTTTCCATAACTCACAATATTCATATAAGGAGTCCAGTTGTCTTTGTAAATCTATCTGAGATTCTGCCATTAAGACAGTATCGTCAGCATATAAAATGACAAACAATTTTAAATAAACATTTAACTCTATTTCTAACTCATCAGAGATAGTGCACAAACCTTCTATATTATTATTCTGTAAAAACAATTCCAGATCGTTTAGATAAATGGAAAAAAGCAAAGGAGAGAGATTCTCTCCCTGCCTAACACCAATGGAACAAGGGAAAAATTCA